CAATTGCTGAAATTGACGTTACAGGGGTTCCATATCATTGACACAAAAAAATTGTACTGCTTAAAAAGTGTGGGTTAGGGGAAGGTGATTCTAAATGTTGCATCTTTGATATCAGTGAAACACGTTCTATTTTCAAGAAGCTTCTGATCCCTGTGATTACAGGAAATTTAAGTAACGAAAATCCGACGAATAATGTGCTCACGATTTGAAAAAATCGGTACCTGCTCTATAGGTTTGACACCAAGAGCCGACAGTAGGCAAGAATGAATTCGGATATCACTTCAGTCAAGTATAGGGGAATTTAGCGTGGAACTTTAAAATTATCGATATGTCAAGGAAATATGTTTTTGAGAACGATAATTTGGTAGATTTTATACATGCATTTTCATTTGAATTTCATGACCCGTGAAATGTACCCATTTCGCCGTTACCTTCAACTTGTGTCCTGCAGTTTGTGATGTTTTTCTGGATATAAGCAGGACATAATTGCCTAAGGTGCTATGAGAGGTTTTTACAAAATTTTGATTTGCGCAAGAATTATGGTGGGTTGAAATGCTTACTATTTGTGCTCAACTTCTTGATATTTTAAAAAGATCCTGGTAGATGAAATCGAAAAAGTGGATCGTTAGCACCCCGTGGACTTTGTTTTTAGCACGCTGCAAGAGTTTCATTTGGAAATAATAAAAAATGAAACGTAAGCTGTGAAGTGCAAATCGGTTTTCGGGCGAAATTCGTCTACTGTTTCGTCCTGCCAGTCCAAGCGACGCGACGGTGCGTTCCGACTAAGAAAAAATGTATTCAAATAATTTGATATATTTCCTGAAATAAATTCAAGAACTCAAATTAAAATTCGTTTATTTATGTCAGTAAACACAATTATGTTTGTCATGTGGTACATGGCAACAATTGAATGAGGGTCATAAAAATATCTTATGCCGTCAAAATAAGAGGAAACAATTAGGTAGTTTTTGCAAAGCAATAAACAGGTAGCCTTATACTAGGATTAAGTACATTTCTTGTCTACTATAATCGGTAGATGGAGGCGATGCTGCCAGAAATGGATGTGTGCGATCAATAAACAAACCACAAGACTGAACTGCGGTGTCCAATGATTTTTGTATTGCCTTTTTTATTGCCTTACTAGAAAACTCTGTTGGGTATATGATGGAGTTTACTAGAACTATACAGCTTGTTGTCTGCCTTCTTCTACAAACTTCACCAAATCGAGATGCTGTCAACCTTATCCTCCGATGAAGGCGCGACAAAGTACAGTCCTGTGATTTGGTGACTTGTTCGATCTGCAAAATCTCGTCGTCATTTTTTTTAAGTTTCCCTAAAAATTTTCACTTAGCAACCTCCAAATCAATGTAGTTAATGTCAGGTTTTTGATTGAATTCGCCATAAAACTATTCATTTTCTTTGGAATTGCTATCCGAATTGTTAGTTATTTTTATATCAGCTCTTTTTGGTCTGAGTTTCTTTTCAAGATTCTTGCGTTTGAGTCTTTGTTCCATCTTAGCTATAAGCGAGGTTGGACTAAGCTTAGAACGCAAATGTATTTAGACCACATATACAGGCCGCTGGGTATTGTGACTCACTACAGCTGCAGCACATTTTTAATGGTATGACTGACCTCTTCTTGCAATAATTTATTCGCTTACCCCAATGTATTTTGGATTACAAAGTTGACCTGCGCCACACTATTGTTGACCTCATCATGAATTAAACTCACTGCATTCGTAATTAAAATGGTCGCATATGACCCTTTATTGTCCATTATCAGCCTTGATAAAGAAAGGCACTCAAGAACAATCTCTCCAACAACAATTCAACAACACAATATCGACGAACAGTAACAAGGGGAGAAAAATACTAAATGATCACGTGCTTCTAGATCGCTAATCGAAATCCGACTCTGTTATTATAAAAATTTACCTTGATATGCACCCGCAGTCATCCTTTCCTCTTTTAAAGTAGCGCCGACGACCGTCAAGGGCCAGCCTACCCTCGTTTCCTTTTCACCCCCCCGTTACCTCAGCAGATGGTGCTCGTGATTGTAGGAGCCCCGTTAAGGTACTTTTAATTTATTTTTCGTTTTTGGCCTTTATACACGGGCTAATGATAGCGGGCAGGCATACCGACAGATAGATCGAAGAAAATGAGTGGCATGGGTTTTCGTGATGTACATGTCATATAACATTCAAAAAACCTATATCATTTTTGAAATTTTTCGCGATTAATACATCCTCACCAGTAGGCGTGGGAAGTAAAAACGTGACTGTCAATAGTTCGAGTTCAATGATAGAAACATCACAGGTATCAAGTATCCATCGCAAATGACGAAAGACACCATCTACTCTTACCAATTGTTACGGTTAACTGTGAAAAATTGAAAAACTGCATATAGAAAGAAGATTAATAACCTTAGTTAGTAATTGTGTTTTGAAAAAAGCAGAATGCTCAAGTCAGCCTAGAAATGCGTATACAGTAGACGTACTTGGAAGGTCGATGAAAAGGAACACTGTTGTCAAGTTGTTATAAAATCAACTACAATGTTGAGACATTGATTTTTTCATTGTTTAGATAGAAAACCTTGGCACTATAGTGGATTCAAGCACGATACAAGAGGATCCTTGATTGTCAAGCTTTTCAAGCTAAATCCTTCATACATATGTAACTGTAACGCATTTAGCTACGACTTTTACTACTTCCCATACAAATAATAATATGTTTTCTATTCCCAACATTCCAAAACTTCATGTTAAGAATGTTCAACTCCCTGGTCATATGGTGTAGTCCAACAAAATTTTGGGTAGATGCAATTCAAATTGTAGATATTACTAATGACGCCCAAATTATACATAAAAGATTAATAAGATTCATATTAATACACGGTATGATAATAGACACTGCACAACTTGGGCAAGTGTGAAGTTCGGCAACAAAACTCCGAATGTGGCATCGTCCAAAAGCAGCGTTCCACTGTCAAAGATGGCATTTTCGTGAATGAACGAAAACCCGTACTTTAGTTCTCAGCTTGATGTTCTATTTAAAAATGGTATCAATAATTGTCATGTTCAAAATATTTTGATGATTATCCTATAAGTCAAAGTGGCAACAGTGCAATTGTTCGTCTCTCCATTGCGTCTTGACTGCGACCAACGACCGAGTTTGCTCGTCCTTGACCAAGGAGAGGAGCACGAGGGACGTCCTACCAACAATTTCGCACGCGAAGAACATAATCATACCCACAGCACGCCATGGAAATAATTTTAATGTGCTTTTTTCCTGGCAATGCTTTGACTTGTCTAACATTGTAACATTGTTACCTAGAGAGCTGACCTTGATTGCTAATAGTTATTTTCTGGTTCAAAATTCAGTACTGTAACGGAACTGCGCAAGGCTGAATGCGTAAAGGCGAAGATCTCGGAAGCGGTTAGGAACAGTCCGTGAACTATCAGAATTTTGCCAAAACCCGAACAGCCTGAACCCAGGACTACGGCAACACAGAACAGAAAATTATTTGTCATTTGCCAGTAACTATAACCACACTTCTTTCTTATGAAGTTTTCACAAAATTTAAAGTGTTAGAAAGAAATTACAAAAAGGTTATTGAAAACAACAACAAAATAGTCAGGGATCAGGAAGTTGTTTGAATATGTGCAAGAAATGGATGAGATCTTTGAGAAAAAGAAGAATATAAATACAATCATATTGCATTCCAGTTCGTCCACAATAGAAAAGGCACCTAAAATCCAAACAGAAAGCTTGCACATCTTATCGAATTATCTATTCCAGAAATTATTGATACTCAACCTTCTTGTTCGTACAATACTCTAACCAAAGATAATCCCCTCAGAGAAACAGCAAGTACATACGGAGGAATGCCCTGTGCTGCCTCTAAGACATCTTTAAAAAGGAAAAGACATAGCCCTGTGTATGTCAAAAGAAACGATATACTTTTAAAAATAAAAAAATTATTGAAAGTATTTTATGAAAAAAAGGACCAGAGAGCACAAGAGAAGTTAGAGATTGAGAGAAGAAAACTGGCTGATGGGGATGATATTTTTAAACAAAATGATTTTTCCAAAGATCCTTCCCAATAAAAAAAATGTTAGTTTTCAGTATGCTAATTTTATGTTATTTATGACAAAGTGGAATTTTTGTTTTGTTTATGAAAAAGTAGTTCAGTTTTCTGTTTATAATTTGTTCCTTATTTTGGACTAAATTTTATTTATACATACTCTACAGCACACATAGTGATTTAAATCAAAGTGTTTGTCCATTACAATAGGTTATCAGTTCCTTAGTTTTTACTGTTATTTTTCACGAAGTCTATGTTAATATATACCAAAGTGTTCCATGTTTTAGAGTGATATTTATGTGTGTATATATTGGAAATGAGCTTCTCATTATCAGAATTACAAAGGTTAGAAGATACTTAATATAAACTGGTAATAAAACTTCAAAAATATTCCCCAATTTTTGTGGGGAAAGTGATATTTCCATATTCTGTGATATGATAAGCAGTTTTCAGATTTGTAAGAAAAAAATATATTTTCTATTTGTAACACTCTGTATCCATATTTGTGATTATACGCTAAGCAGTTTCTGGATTTTTAGGAAATTATATTTTATATGGGTATTATATTTTTTTTTATACACTGTATCTCAGCTCAAACTCAAAGTGGCTTTCTTGTCACAAGTACATTAAAGTTCTTATTAACAAAGCAATAACCAAACAATTCTGGACCCATGTTTATTAGAACTTCTTCTATGTGTGGATGACCAAGCGCCTGCCAAGCATCCTGTATAACAGTATTATTAATTTTACTGGATTAAAATTGTTAATAAAATTGTTTTATTTATTGAAAAAGTCCTAGTAAAACAAATTCCCGCTGCAAACAGTGTGAGTGCTAGTACGAAGGAAAAAATGACACATTTATCCATGTATTTGCAAATAAATTTATTATGAAAATAATTATACACATATTTACTACATCACTATCACTTTAAAAGCTACATACTATATATCTAATAATAAAGCCACATAATTCCTGTAGTTTTGACCAACCTCATTGTGTTCATCATCTTGTACATGTTCATTAAACGGATTTTCATTTCCCTCATCACCTACATCTACTGCCTCATCACGTACAACATTGTTATCGATGCAGAGGTTATGTAGCACACATCATGCCCTAATAAAATGGCATATAAATTTAATATCTCTTGATTTGATATGATACAGTAAACCTCTATTTTATGAGACCTATAGTGTGCTCAATTAACACTCTACCATGACTCAAATTATTAAAACTCTTTTGCATCTGCGACAAACTACCTGTATCCTTATAATAACTTAATAAATTCCTTAAACAAGGATAGGCGCTGTCTCCCAGACTTACCCAGTCCTTACACAACTGTCCTAAATTTTGGCACAGTGGACTATTCCGGAACAGTCTTGCATCATGGACACTACCTGGGTAACCAATAAACACATCCCTTATTTTTCTATTGTCATCACTGATAACTTGCATCTGAAAAAAAAACTTGTTCTCAAAATATCTAAATACTGACATAAAATAGCTGGATACTGCAAAATTTGCCATTATGGGCATTTACCTGAATCGAATGAAACTTCTTCCTATTCAAATAAGAATCAGGATCTTCTCTGGGGGTATCAATTTAATATGGCTCCTATCTATGCACCCTATTGCTCCTGGAAACCCCATTTCAGCAAAACGTCTGGCTATGTTGTTAGCCTTTGGAGCCGATGGCCATACAATGACACTTCGAGACAGATTTGATAAGAAATGTACAATGGTGTTGACAATGCTATGTAGGGTACTCATTGACAGATCAAACCTATCTACCACATCTCTAAATGTTGCACCCTCATTGCTTGTGAACCAAAGAAATGCCAGGATACATGTTTCACTGTCTATCCTCTGGAAACCAGTGTCTTTCTTTGGATAAAACTCAGACTCTTCAAAATCTCTTTTTAAAGTAGCAACAATTTGCCTACTAATAATTATTTTGTTTAGTGCTACTAGTGGCCCCGGGTCTTTAGGAAGTTGATTTGGTGGATAGAAAAATATCTTACCTAAAATGCTCAACAAACTGTTTGTCAGTATAGGAAGGAAAAGTTTCCTCATAGAAATTATTATTTTTGCTCACATCTTTGAGAAGCTCTGGCAAAAATAAGTTGGAAATAACTGCCTCAAGTTCATCATCACTGTCAGACGACGATGATGATGACGAATCGGAATCAAAAATGATCTGCATTGGATCCATTTGTCCACTTTTCTTTTAATTTTAGATAAAAAAACACTCCTCAAACCGCAAAAAGTAAACAGCATTAAAGCACAACACGTCAAACGTCAAATAAATTTAATTGCAAAACACATAAGACTGATTTTAATGACATTGGTAGAAGGAATACGCATGCATGAAAAATCAGTTCAACAATGGTCCCGGCAGTGAAGCAAGAACTGCTTGAACGATTCTCGAATCATCCTAGAACTGAACCAGGGTATAACTTCGAAAACGGTCCGAAAGTAATCCAACAAAAACCCGAACAGGTCGGTTTCTTGTGCGCATGCTCCTGATAGTTCTAGAACAGTAATAATAAAAACCCGAAGAAACCTAATATGAACTTTGGATTAGGAAAACTAAACAAAGTAAAATAAAGAAGAGTAGAATAAAGAGGAAAAGTATGGAGGCAGGTCATCCATGTGACTTAGAGCTCCTGTTCTTGGGCGCACAATATCAACAACCTGCTGACCCTTGAAACTTTTTGAATAAATTGATTAAAGTAGCCAGGTATTTTTCCAGGGCATTACAAACAATGTAACTTCCAATTTGAGTTTCTGGGTATGAAATAACTTTAAAATCTAAGTTAATCAATGTTTAAGAGAGTATTTAAGAAAAAAATCTGTAACAGTTATTCTTATCAATTGATTAGGGTCAAAATATTTGCAGCTGGCGCATGTTGAACAATACCTGCAATATCACAAGACCTCCTTACTGTGTACCTATAGCATCGAGTAGTGCTCACACGTTTGGGGTGTTGTCGCCCCGACTATCGATGACTCTCCTCTAACAGACAGTCTCGAGACCCTTTCGCATCGGTAGGCTGTCAGCGATCTAGCTCTCTCCTACCGCTACACCAACGGGATTTGCTCCTCACAACTGTCCTCCATGATCCCGTCGCGCGGTGTGCCTGCCAAATAGATCCGCCTGACTTCCGCCTTCCGGCCTAACAGTGTCGAACTTCGTACTCGCCTATACGACCACTCGTTTGTCCCTAGGGTGTCAAGATTGGGGAACAATCTACAAGAGGAGGCTGTTCCCAGATCTACTAAGCTTAGGCAGTTCAAAAATTGGAATAACAAAGTTTCCTTGGGATCCTCAAAGCAGCTGCAGTGCCCTGGCATTAAGGCTTCTCTGCCTGCGCGCCTGCTTCGATGTAAATAAAATACCGATAATTCATCGTATTCCTTCCAGGACATGATAGGAGACTCGAAATGTAACAAATTTCAGTTATAGATGAAAATATTTTCGGGAGTTCAATTTTGGTTAGCTATGTGAGATATGGATTAGACTAGACTGCGATTAATTCTCGCAACTTGTACTGATATCCATTAGATGCTTTTACTTCCTACGCGAGCGGGCGAAGGAGAATTGTAATCGAGATTTTATTTTTATTACTCTACTTTTGATTAAAACTTTTCATTTCAAAATTACTTCTTTTAGTGAATCAACATCATTCGTCATTTCAACGTCTAGGTATTTCGTCTAGTATCTGCATTCCTTAATGTTTAGTCTCTTTCTTCTTTCTTCTCTTTCTCTTTGCCTTTGTCTGGTTTCTGGGCGTCCTGGCTGACAGATTGGAAACTGACCGAAATAATTTGATACAAAGGCATATGTTCTAGGGAGGTTGTCTACTTCATATATACATAGTAAAATTTTGTTTAGTAGGTAGTTTTCGAGATTTCCAGCATCAATTTTTGTTAAAACCTTTTCGGACCAGATATATTTTAGAACACTGAAAGTTAAACATTTCATATCACCCAGTATTATTTTTTCTTAAGGTGACGAAGAACCTATGACACCGCTCTTGTGTGAAAGATTCAAATAGGATCGCTCTGCCAATCAGTTGAAAAAGTTTTTTTATTGACCATTTTTAATACATGTCTTATTTACTTTCCACCTCTACTGGCGGGGAAGTATTGTATTCGTAAAAAAATTCGAACATGTTTTTTGGAAGTTATATGAAAAAGGCCATAAAATAAAAAATTAAAATCGCTCAAATATAGTTTAGTTTAGGGGTGAAAAATTAGGGGGTGGGTGAGGGTACCTATTAGCCATATTTCACACATCACAGGTTCCCCGTACACTGTAAGTCGCGTTTCCTATGCACGTTTCCATCTCCTATCTGACCTCAGCGCCCGGAGCAACGGTCTGCTTGATTGTTCTGCTCGTACTGCAGAAGTGGTTCGGTGAGTGCTTCCGCGTCTGACGATATGGGAAGGGGCAACGTTGCCAAATGGTCTGTAACTACAGGTAGGGCAGGGAAAGAATGTCTATGAACTAATTGTATGAGGCTGTTTGACTGACTTAAACCGCGTAATTTCTCTATTACACATGTTCGTAACTAATTTTTCAGTCGGAGGGTCCAACTTGTGCTGAATCATTTATGAACTGATGACGGCGTTGCGTAGGAAGTGCAGATGACGCCATTTTTTACAGTTTATTAAACCAAGCTACGCCACAATCTACTGCGAAGTTAGGTAGACACTAGAGATCCAATTGCTAGAATTATTTTACCTTCCTTCTAGAAGTTTCTTTTTGCACTGTCTTTTAACTATCTTATTAATTTTACTACGTCTCCTGTCCACCTTATTTTAGTCAATCCTTATAGGTCAATATCAGAGCATTATAAAGTACGTCGGCGTGATTGTTTTGAGCAATATATTAAAAGATACAACTTTAATGATAATAAATTCTGAAATCCACAAATGCTCAATTCGCCATGGGTATTTTTGTTCTTGATTTCTGTCGTATAACGCAAGTCGTGATACGAAGTCAGTTATATCTTATAAAAAGCTTCATCTACGTCACTACAGCATTCCAGCCGATCGCTCAGCCACAGTGAGAAAAAACATTGCTTTCTTTTCCTTTTTTTATACGTTATTTATAACGGTTGTCTGTCTCATCGACCTTGACGACGGCCTAGAGGTATCTAGCCCAAAAAGTCCACTTAACAATAATTATCAGCTGTCCTGTATCAAGAAGATCTACTTTCATCAAGTACAGCTTGATGAGATTGTAAAACCAAGCGGATATATTTGACATATACCTACTTTACTACGATCATATTTAATACACTTGATGATTCAAGCATCATCGAGATATTTTTTATGATCAGTTCACGAAAAACCAATGGCACCTATTTCCATTAGGCAGCACAACTTGAAAAGCGACCGTCTAAATTGCATGCAAAATTTAGACAGCAAAGAATGAGACTAGCAGAGTCCAGTAATTTCCATTTCCAATAAGAATGCCGCGAATTGACTTTAGCTTGTATTTGTTTTTTTTTAGATCTGGATATGCAAACCCATCGAATTGGGACTTGCTTGATTTTCTTGAAACATACTCTGGTCCTCGGGTCTAATTATTATGTTATGAACAATAAACTCTCATTATCACATTAAATTTAAGCTTTTTAACACCAAATAATTCGTTATAATATATACTAAGTGACATATAAATCCGAACACCCAGTTTAAATGGTTTTATTTTAATAAAAGTTGGTGAATGTATTTATCTTACTGTAAATAACAAGTGAAAAAATTTTCAGCCTTATCAGTTGGACATTCCAGTTTTTATACTGCTTTTTTTTAATTCACTAGACCCCTAAAAATGAATATTTCAGCCGCAGTAAAGAATCAACGTTGGCGGATTTTGGTTCTTGACATCCTTTACGATCGGTTACGATGCCTAGAGTACGGAGACCTGTACGATTTCGTCAACTTAGTGAGTTTGATAGGGGCCGTATAGTGGGACTTCGGGAAGCTGGACTTTCTTTTCGGGCAATTGCAGTTAGAGTGCAAAGAAGTGTAGACACTGTGGTTCGGTGTTGTCAGGCATAGCTTCGAGAAGGCCGTACGCAAAGAGCAAGGGGCACTGGACGCCGCCGTAGAACAACAGACCGTGAAGATCGCCGCCTAAGATTATTGGCCTTAAGGGACCGTTTCTCCACTACCAGGTCCATTGCAAATGAATGGTTTGCAGAACACGGAAGACCTATTGGCCTGCGAAGTGTTTACCGACGAATGAGAAGTTTTGACTTGTTTTCATACCGGCCACACTGGGTCCTCCCTTTAACTCGAGAACACCGACGTAATCGCCTTGAGTGGTGCAGACAACGGTCACTCTGGGATCAGGAATGGAACAGTATTGTCTTTAGTGACGAGCCTCGATTTTGTTTAGGCATGCACGATGGTCGTGCCAGGGTTAGAAGGCGACGTGGTGAAAGGAGGAGTTATGGTTTGGGGGTGCTATAGCTTATGGTTCCAGGTCACCTTTAATCTTCATCAGAGGTAACATGAACGCGTAGCGTTATATCCACGAAGTTCTAGAACCCCATCTTTTACCCTATCTTGACACCCTGGCAGATCCAACTTTCCAACAAGATAATGCCCGACCACGTGTTGCAAGAGTCACAATAGACTTCTTTCAACATAATGATGTCACATTGTTACCATGGCCACCAAGATCTCCCGACTTATCCCCAATTGAGCACGTGTGGGATATGATGGGTAGGAGATTGCTCAATTTGCAACGTCCTCCTCAGACTCTAGAAGCACTTCGAGAGGAGTTGGTGGTTGCCTGGAATGAGATACCACAGGAGGACATTGACCACCTGATCAGAAGCATGTCTAGACGCGTTGGAGAATGCGTAGCACATCAGGGTGCATCCACACATTATTAAAGGTCAAAGGGCTTTAAAGCAGTGCAATCATGTTGAAATTTTTATCATTTACTTATTATGCTTCATTAAGTACTTATACAAAAATTTTATTAAAATAAAACCATTTAAACTGGGTGTTCGGATTTATATGTCACTTAGTATAGCTATGCTCTATAGTCTATACCTTTGACCAGTTGAACAAGGATACTTACAGACATAAGTATCTCTCTCTTATTTATATCGATAGAACGGTGCCATTTTATGCTTCTTAACTTTTAAGCGATATTGGAGCTTTTTCGTCTCAAGTTCTCAAATAAAAGCGTCTTCAGTTTTAACAGCAAGACGAAAAAAGGGGGTTTTTTGAAAACAGGAGACCAAAAGATTCAACTGATATCGTTTAAAGGCGAAGAAGTATAAAACGGCATATTTCTAAACGGATAAAATGATTCTTGAATGTTTAGGTTGTTTAATTAAAACCTGTTTAATTAAAAAAACCTGTTGAGAAAAATATATTTCTTCATTCATTTATTTTAGATATAAATATGAAAGATAAAGGCTTAATGGAAAAAATATATTTTGGAACACTTCCGTAGTCACATCATAACT